ATTCCTTTGTGATTACCATTATGGGTTCTGTGATGTGATCCCACCTAACTGCATCCAGTTGAGAAATTTGATATTGAGTGCCTTCCCCAGAAACATGAGGCTCCCAGACCCATTCACTCCTAATCTGAAGGTAAGTATCCTCATGTGCTGCTGTGCCCAGCCCCAGCTGTACAGCTTGCACCTGTGTTAGGTAATGCTATTCTTCATAGTCCTGCTGTTTCTGATACTAGATAATGCCTCACATGAGCGCTCTAGTTGCAATTTTTTTCTATTATGTGATACTGAATTTGTTTACAGAACCTCAGCTTAGGGTGGGCAGTTACTTGCTGGTTCTCCCCTAGCTGGCACAGTGTCTCTGTGTAGCTACACTGTTGAAGCAGACAGGACCACCTTGCATCTCAGTTCCCATGGCGTGCTTACTGTAATTTTCATGTATCCTGGTTCCTCCCTCGCACCCCCACCTCTTACAGCTTAAAAAAATAAAGACCATCTTGTGTTTCTGGTTTGGGAATTCTTTTCCTTTTTTCTTTTTTAAGATTTATTCATTTTTTAAATTACAAAGTCAGATATACAGAGAGGAGAGACAGAGAGGAAGATCTTCCATCCGATGATTCACTCCCCAAGTGAGACGCAACGGCCGGTACTGCGCTGATCCGAAGCCGGGAACCAGGAACCTCTTCCGGATATCCCACACGGGTGCAGGGTCCCAAAGCTTTGGGCTGTCCTTGACTGCTTTTTCCAGGCCACAAGCAGGGGGCTGGATGGGAAGCGGGGCCGCCGGGATTAGAACCAGCGCCCATATGGGATCCCAGGGCATTCAAGGCAAGGACTTTAGCCGCTAGGCCACTGCGCCGGGCCTGGGAATTCTTTTCTTTGAATGAGGAATGATATTTTAGACTTGAAGTCCAAACTATAATTCCTCACAAAAGTACTTGCCCTTTATACCACATGAGAAATTAATATCATTTTTGTAGAATTCTAATTAAGATTTGTTAAGCTAGTAAAATGTGGCAAGAAGATTCTAGACCTTAGTAGTGTGTGTAAACATTTAATGATTCTGATTGTGATCCTTGGCATTTGTCTGGCAGGTGGACATGTTGAGTGAAATTAACATTGCTCCCCGGATTCTCACCAACTTCACTGGAGTGATGCCACCTCAATTCAAAAAGGATTTGGATTCCTATCTTAAAACTCGCTCACCAGTAACTTTTCTGTCTGATTTGCGCAGCAACTTACAGGTCAGTTGGTTTGGTTTGAAACTCTTATGTCTTATGTATGTATTTTCTGTGCATGATCCTCTGTTTAGCTAGTTGGAGGTAGTATTTTCAGAAAGGAAGTTACACGGTTAAGTAGCCCATTTCATTGATACAATGCTAAAGCTGTACATGAAGCAACCAGGAAAGCCACTGATTTTCTGCAAGGATAGACACATTGTTTACACAAAACAGGTTATCTTTAAGTGCATATAATCTTACTACATAATCCTGTTCTCATGTTTATTGTACTGCTTTGCAAGAGTTCATTTGCAACAAGTATTCTGTTTTGCTCACGCAGGTATCTAATGAGCCTGGCAATCGCTACAATCTGCAGCTCATCAATGCACTGGTGCTCTATGTAGGGACTCAGGCCATTGCACACATCCACAACAAGGGCAGTACTCCTTCAATGAGCACCATCACCCACTCAGCACACATGGATATCTTCCAGAACTTGGCCGTGGACTTGGACACTGAAGGTGAGTGGAGCCAGTGTGTTCTCAGAGTAAAATTCAATATGCTTATCACATCATGTTCCCAAAAATGTTCTAAGCCACAGCAAAGGCTGTGTTGGCACACTTAGATCTAGCTGATGATGACTTTATGTGTTTCATTGACAATTATGTTTAAAGCAGAGCATAAAGCAAAGAACAAAGGTGTGAATTAACCAAATCCTGCTATTACCATCCAAAGACTATGGTGTTCTATTAAGATTTTTATTGCAAAGTCAGATTTACAGAGAAAGATCCTCCATCCACTGATTCACTCCCCAAAGTGGCCACAGTGGCCAGAGCTGAGCCAGCTAGAAACAAATAACTTCTGGGTCTCCCACACAGGTATAGCTTTGAACCATCTCCTATTACTTTCCCAGGCCACAAGCACGGAGCTGGATGGGAAGTGGGGCTGCCAGGATTAGAACCGGTGCCTATATTGGATCCTGGTGTTTTCAAGGATGGGCCAAAACATTGGGATCCTGCACCCACTGGGAGACCCAAAAGAGGTTCCTGGCTTTGCACCATCTCAGCTCCAGCCATTGTGGCCACTTGGGAGTGAATCATCAGACCAAAGATCTTCGTCTCTGTATTCCTCACTTTCAAATAAAAATAGTAAAAATAAATATTTTTAAAGAAATGGTTCTTGATGATATTTAGACCAAGTAACAGAGTGAAAATAGTAGTATATGTAGAACATAGCAATATAGCCTCTTGGTTCTCAGCATATGACCTGGGAAACCTTAGCAGAACCCTAAAGGCCCTTTTAATGAGGGGTGTGAATATTAAGGCAACATTGGCTTTCACTTGTTGTGAATATTCCGATTTGTGTTAAGTGCAGCAACAGATTGCATATAGACATGGAAAGAATCCAAATGCTTTCTATTAAGATGTGAAAAAACATGTCAAAATGTAAGGCATCCACTAAATTACAGGGAAGATTTTTTTTTTTTAACTAATATGTCTTATTCAGGAATGAATACTTAAGTATCTTTTAATGTAGAAGATATTCAAAATAAAGAGCTTTCTGGGATCCTGAGGACTATTATTTTAAGGAACTGTTTCCTGGTGCTGTTCTTGGCAAGTCCTGAGTCTCCCTACTTCTTAGGTCGGTATCTCTTCCTGAATGCAATTGCGAACCAGCTGAGATACCCAAACAGCCACACTCACTACTTCAGCTGCACCATGCTGTACCTTTTTGCAGAGGCCAACACCGAAGCAATCCAGGAACAGATCACAAGGTAGGGCGAGACTTTTCATGTGCTTCAAAATGGTAGCTGCCTTGACTTTGTGGTGTCTTTTGTATAGATTTAATGTATAGTAGGTATTTTTTATAGTGCAGTAACATGCTAAATTTGAGATGCAGCTGAAATGAGCTGATGTGAAAGTAGGACACAATTAAAAAAATGGTTTTGATTGAAGGTCAAGAGCTTAATGTGGCAGCATTTTTACTGCTGTCCTGAATGAGGCAAGCTCTTTAATAAGAGCAGTTGGAAATGCGTTGCAGGCTGCTTTGAATTCACACAGCACTGGAGGCTGGGGAACAGGCAGACTGAGTGTTATTTGTGTTCCTACATGCTGGTCATGAGCCATCACCTGCTGGCACTACAGTCGGCAGCCCAACCAGGACCTTAATTTAAAAATCGCATTTTGGGATGCCGGTTATCCCCAAGTAGTGAGGTTAGATGCTATACCAAAAATTGTATTCTCTCCCTAATACTGCTTTTTAAAATGTTTCAATGTTACTTATTTAAAAGCAGAATTACAGTCTTCCATCTGTTGGATCCCACCACAGGTGGCTGGAACAGCTCGTTTCAGAAGCTTTTTTAAAGTCCCAAGGATTGGACTGTTTTTCACTTCTTGGATTGAAAGTGGAACAGCTAAGGCTCAACCTGGCACTCAAGGCATGCCAGCATTGCAGCAGCAGCTTAGTCTGCTCCCCTAAACACATGGTTTAAATGCACTTTTCTAATATCTATTGGGCAGTATTTATATTCCCAACCGCATGGTAATCTATGTGAATATTTAAGCCAATGGTTAGGTCAAAGAGCACATTTTCTGTATGTTGTGTGTTGCCCATTTTTTCCTACCTCCTATCTTTTGAAAGTTCTGAAATGCATAGTTTAAACTCCCACCTTAACAATGGCATCCTGTTCAAATCCAGATGCTCCAAATCCAATCTAGTCTCCCTGTTTATGGCCTGGGAAATTAGCAGAGGATTGCTCAAGTCCTTGGGTCCCTGCACCCACATTGGAGACGAGGAAAGTAGCTGCTGGCCCAGATTGGCTCAGCTCCAGCCAGTCTGGTGATTTGGGGAGTGAACCAGCAAGATCTCTTGTATTAAGAGATCAATTCAACTATCGTGGTATGCCCTGGAGAAGAGGGTAATGAAGTGGTTGTAATTGGTGCATATCTGTTAACACTGTTTTCTTTTCTCCAGGGTTCTTTTGGAACGGTTGATTGTAAATAGGCCACATCCTTGGGGTCTTCTTATTACCTTCATTGAACTGATTAAAAACCCAGCATTTAAGTTCTGGAACCATGAGTTTGTACACTGTGCCCCAGAAATTGAAAAGTGAGTTTTTTGTCTGAACCAAGCAATTATACTCTTCTATCTCTAGGTTGGCTCTGTGAATGAAATACACAATTAACTGCCTTCTGTTCCTCAGGTTATTCCAGTCGGTTGCACAGTGCTGCATGGGACAGAAGCAGGCTCAGCAAGTAATGGAAGGGACAGGTGCCAGTTAGATGGAGCCGTGACTTCATTGTAAAGATGTCAGCCTGGAGGCCCCTGGGCACGAAGTTCATGAACTGCAGAATCCTTTCCGCTCTTCCCGACTCTCCCACCTCTCTGATTCTTGGGCATTTCTCCAGCTACGCTGGGGTGGGCCTCCCTGTCTACGTGGGCACGTTCCAAAGTTTAAATGCATTTTTTTTGACTCTTGGCCAAAATTTAAAAGATGCTGTGAATATCATTTTGAATTGTGTAAATATATGAAAGAGAAAACCTTTGTCTGGAGTTTCATGGGTTTGTGCAAAATGTTTTAGAGCCTTCCTCCACTGCTTTCCCAGGCCACAAACAGTGAAGCAGCCACAACAGGAACCAGCACCCACATGGGATCCCAGCTGGGCCCTCCAAACCTGTTTTAAAGCTAATTTGTGGAGCACAGCTCCTCATTGGTGCTTGAGAACATTCCTTGGCCCCTGGGATGAGGTCATCCTGTAGGAACAGGAATTCAATCTTATGAATTATCCTATCACTGAGCTGAAAAACAACAAAGGACCAATACAACCCCTTTGGTAAGGATCTTAAATGTATTGGTTCCTGTGCTCTTTGTAGATGTGCAGTTTCTGGGCATTCGCTCACACGCTGTACGTGTATGCATGCGAGTCCATGCTGCCTCAATGTGAACAGCCCGGGGAAGCACCAGCTCTCAGCTGAGTTAAGATCATTCCCACTACCAAGCTGACAATCTTCAGCAGGGGGAAACTTAAAACGCCTCACCTTTAACGGTACTCAGGTTGTAAAACCAAAGGGCTCAAAATTAAAAGTTGATGTCTTACATGAGCAAGGCCTCACTGTCCTTGGTGTCTAGAGCAACACAGGTGGTCAGATCATCCAAGGGGGAATAACCCATCAGTAACAGGAAAGTATGATTTCCTCAAGATGCAGCTGGTTTGACAGGTTACATGTACGGTTCATATTAAACACTAGAATACAGTAACACCCATCCCTACTGTAACTACAGACTGGTTAAAAATGTGTTAAACTAATCATTCCAAAGCATGCTGTTCAATCAGAACCATCACCTAGCACACCTTTGCTGATTTTTCTTCTGGTATTTAATAAGAAAGTTGAAAGATTCAAACTTTAAAGCAACAATGGTTATCAGTTTAGAAAAACAGTTCTTACTGCTTACTCTAACTGGTCACCTCCAACAGCTGGTGTAAGATCATCTTTTGGCCATAACGAACCTGCAGGGCCCGCTGCTCCCGCCAGCTGAGCTGGGTGTAAAGCTCCTCATTGCTGAGTAAATCCTGCTCACTTTGCAAGTCTGTGGCGTACGTCTGCAGGGTCAGCACCACACTGTCCCGAAGGAGCTCTTTCCATGGCGCCTTGAGCTTGGAGATATTTTTGAGTGTCAGAGTGTCTTCTTCCCTTTCATCATTTCCCCGTCCATCCCGGTCTTTAAATTCTCTGAATTCCTCAGCAGGCATGCACAGTACCTAGAAATAAACATGAGAGCCTTTAGTTAGGTCACACCACCACGATATTTGTGCAGTTAACCTGACCTGGCCTTTTCTAATTGCTAAGGTTACCTTTAGTGTGGTGGTCAGCTCCTCTTCCGTCAGCACCTCTTCCCGCCCGATCACGAAGGCTCCCTCCTCCCCCACCATCTCCAGTTCACACAGGAAATCCCAGCGCTCGCACAGGAGCAGCCGCTCAGCATCCACCTTCACTCCTGCAAAGACATGCCACAGAAGCCACCGTCTACCAAAGGCTGCCTTCTGCGTCCACAGTCGTGTGCCACACCGATTTCAAAGCACAAAGGAAACACTCACTCTGTAATGCTGCTTCACGAACGGTGACCATTTGGATGTCAGCTGTGTCATCGGTGTTGTCAGGATACGGTTCAACAAAGCCGTACATGTGAATCAGCTGCCAATTGGCCATTTGTCCATAAGTGTTGAAAATCTCATGGCCTTTAGGAATGGGCTGAGTGGCCACCATCCGAAGATGATTCTGGGGCGAGAGGGAGAAGCTGAGGCAGCATCCTTCCCAGGCGACCCCTTGGAAGTGGCTCCCCTCCAGCAGATGTGGGTCAGCCCCGGACTGAGGCCCACCTCGGCTCCTGCTAGTCCCCTTGTATAGCACATCAGCCCCATTTTTATTAGGTGACACTCTGCTCACCCATCTTTAGCACTTAAAAAGTAGTCAGATGTTAGAAATGAACTAAGTGCCCCGCCCCCAATGAAATGGCAATCACAGTTACCATTGGTTTTACTGCCACCATCCCTTTCCATACAAAATACAGCTGATACAAAAGCAGTCATGGGATTATCTTAGAGCTCTGAGTGAACATCCTAAAGAGTGGGGTGTTGGATGTGAGGGTGCTCTGGTTATGACAAGTCACCCACTGATGCCAGGGTTGAGCTGGCTGATCCGGCTGGCTAGGCGGGTGTCCCCTTCCTCCCTCACAGCTCCATGCGTGCCCCACCGAAGCTGCGTGCTCAGGACAGCCACCACCCCTGCTAGAGGACCTGTCTTCCGTCAAGGGCACACAAACAGCTGCACGCCCTTGCTAGAACCTCCAAGGAATGGGGGGCCCAGGTGCAGTGCGCAGGCCACATGGCGCACACAGCAGCCCCTCCCATTCCAGCACTGCAATATCGAGAAGTTAACTGCAACTTTGAGGACTCTGAGGTGTTTTGCGTTTAAAAAAAAAAAAAAACAAAAACATTTTACTGTAATATACATACAAAAATATATAAGGGAGAACTAAATTTCACCCACTCACTTCTGAAGAGTAGGGAAATGGAGCCCAATGAAACAGCGCTTTGAAGCAAATGCTCAATCACCAATGCACATAACAAGAACTAGGTGGGATCCACTCACTGCAGAATATTCTAGATTGGCATTGTGATTGGCTAAGTGGTTTAGAATGTCTGCTGCAGGCACCATCAAAGGGGCGTTTGGCTCCTTCTCATCCTCCTCTTCCTCCAGTGGTTCTTGAAAGCTGCCAGAGAGAACTAGGCTTAAGGCTCAGGCCTGAGGCACGCGGCTGGAGCTCATTGTCTGCCCCCGCACCGCCCAGGCTGCTCACCTGTAGGCCATGACCAGGGCCACGAGCTGGCGGTAGAGCTCCAGGGAGCGGACCTTGGGGCTGAAGAGATCAGGATGGGCTTCCATGAAGGGCAGCACGATGGAATGGTACTCGCTGCGGATGTTGGCCAGGTCCTTCTCCACGGCCTCGGGCACTCCAGTGCCCTGTAGCAGCCGCCGGCGCTCCTCCTCCGGCCTGCAGCGACACTCCCACCCAGGCTCCCTTCACACACCTCATCGCGACCAGGCTGGGGGCCCTGGCCCGGGGGGGAGCGGCTGGGGCACGCCTCCCGCAACGCTCACCAGAACATGGGGTGCTCCAAGCGGCCCAGCTCAGGCCAGAGCGCAAAGTAGGGGCGCCAGCGTGAGGCTGGAGCCTGTAGCTCGTGGAGCAGCGCCAGCAGCAGCGGCACCCAGCCCGACTGACTCTGCAGGGCGCCTCGCTCTGCGGGAAGACAGGGCTGAAGTCCCCGCGCGCGCCGCAGCGAGCCCGCGCTGCAGCGAGCCCGCACCGCGCCCCCGTGCCGCCCGCGCGCGCACCTCGCTCCAGCAAGTCGCCGATGGAGCAGGTGTGCTGCGACAGCACCGCGCTCCGCGGCACCGCGAACAGCAGCTCCCCGCGCTGCACGCTCTCCCGCGCCAGCATGCCGTAGCCGGCCACGGTGCCCTGCCGACTCACTTCCACCTGCGAGGGCAGCAGCGGGGAAGGCCGGGTCAGAGCATCCCTGGGCCCGCCGCGCTGCCGCCGCAGCCCCGCGCCCCGCTCGCTCACCTTAGGACTCAGCTCCAGTCCCACCTGCTGGCACCAGCTCAGGAAGCCAGCCACGGGCTCCGCGTCGCCGCCGCCGCCGCCCTCCGGCCCCGCCACCTGGGAGAAGCGAGTTCAGCGCCCGTGTCCCGCTCCCCCGGGCCGCGCGTGCGCGCTGGCGGAAAGGGGCTCCGGGGCGCGGGAGGGACGCGCGGACCCGGAGGGACACGGCCCCGCGACAGAGAAGGCGCACGCAGGACGCCGGCCACGGCCCGCGGGACAGGGGTACACCTCGCGCCCGCCGCTCACCCGCGGGCGCTTCGCCTGGCTCGCCATGGCCGCAGCCGGGCCGCGCTTCCGGCGTCCGCGGCCCCGCCCCCGGGGCGGCACGCTGGCCCCACGCAGGCGCCGGAACCACGTGGGGCGAGGCCGGGCGTCCGCCGGGCAGGCGCGGTGGGAACCCGGGCAGGTGCGCTCGCTGCTGCTTGAAGACGTGCTCGGAGCGCCCGGGGTCTGAGGCTGGAATCAGAGAGCGCGTCGTGCGCGCACGGAACGGCGGCTCCGCGCTGCCTCGGACCCGATCCAGGGCCACGAGCAACCCGTGGGCCTCTCTCCAAGTGCTGAGGCTTCTTGAAGTCCGGGCACTGGAAGAAAATACCGACTTCAGGCTTGGCAGTCGGGCGGGGACTCTACCCCTCCTGGCAGCCGCTTCTCTGAGCTCCGTGGTTGGTCAAGCTGGAGCTGTTTGTGGGTGCTTCCGCGGGGCGTGGCCCTCAGGGCTCCTGCTCTGAGATCTTCAACAGACCCGCCTGCTGGTGCATCTGTGGACCATCTTCTGCATAGCACATGCTGGGTTTTATTTTTTATTTACTTCTTTATGAGCTGAGTCACAGCAGGGCGTGTTTATTGGGTAAATGAATAAATGATTCTGCATGGAGAAGTCGCATGCTGTGAATTTAAACATGAGCCGAATACAAGAGGCCACAGGTGTGGGCCCTGAAGCCAAACGCCCGAGTGAAGCTCTCAGCTTGGCCTCATTAGAGCAGATCCCCGCGGGGTTGGCTTTAAGGATGGAGAGGAAAAATGTGAGAACAGGAGTTAGATGAAAACCTGGCAGAGCCCCCCTGCGCACTTCCCCAAGACTCCCCCCACCCTCATGGCACCAGTCCAGCAGCCGAGCCCTGTGACCCGTGGCCTGGCTTCGTTCCCCTCTGCAGTCCCTGAGAGTCGATGAAACTGCAGTTAACACCTGCTTTGTTGACAAGGGTTTTTTTATTTTATATTTTGTCATCTCAAAGTCTCATGATAGATACCAGCCACCTGAATACACAAAGTTAGGCTATTTGTACAGAAAGGGAAAAAGAATAAACTCCAATGAAAGTTCACCTTGACCAGAGAAGAGACAACCTCCGATAGAAACCACACACAGGAGAAGCCAATATACGTACATAGATAGAATGTATAGGTATGTATAGATTTCTCGTCTCAGAGGACACGGCAAAAGAAAAAGTGTAAGGTTCGCAGTGCTATGCCTACAGTAAGGGAGAAGTTTACCAGCTTTCAAACAGTCACATAAGTGAAGAGCAGTGGGGACATTTTACCACTCTACCAGGCTCTAGAGCAATCCAGTGATGGCTTGGTTACAGAGGGGCGGGGAGGGAAAGGTAGGGATGCCTGGGCAGGGCGCAGTGGTGGTGGGGGAGGCCCCTCAGCCGCAGCACGCCTGCCCTGCCACAGCCCTGTGGTTTTCCAGCGTGCTGTAACACCTCCTTCTCTCTCTTGGGGTCTGAGACCAGTGGCTTAGGTGGCAGGATGGGGCTGGTGTGCGGCAGGGCGGGGGACCTTCTTCCTTTACCTGACCCTCGTGGGCTTTACCAGTCGTCCCCTCCCTCCCACTGCCCAGGACCCCCGCCAGCCCCTGCCCAAGCCTGGTCCCACAGGCATTGCTGGCGAGAGGCTGAGGGGGTCTGGCTGCCTCACACCTGTTCTGCCCAAACGCTCTCTTTCTTGGTGACACAAACAGGAAGTGTTGGTGTGTCTTTACTAGAACTCAGCCTGGTTTCACCGCGGCTACTGTCCTCTGGGAAGCCTGGAGGATAAAAAGGAAGCCTATATAGGAACCCAGCTGCCCTGCCTCCTCCACCTGCTGACTCCCAGCAGACACCCAGCACACAGGGTTCCTCAGCCCCACCCTGGTCAGGTCGCATGAAACAAGGTCAGGGGGGCCTTGGCTCTGAACTGGGCTCAGTGTGGGCTGGAGGGGATGGGATGTGATGCCTGTTCTCAGGGGTCTCCATGTTCCGACTTTCTTGGGCTCTGCCGCCTCGGCCCTACAGCACCAGCCCAGCCCAGCAAGCACCAGGAGAAAGGCTGCCCGGTTACAGTGCCCCCTTGTGGCTATTGTTGGGATGACTGTTGCCTGTACTACAAGACAGAAACAGGTGTGCTTGGTTGGAGAGGACACCCAGCTTTTAGGGGATCTGGGGTTGCTCACCTCCTAATGCTCCCACCACTGTCTCCTGGCTTCCATGCCACATCCACGCCCAACACGCCCTCATCTCAAACTTGCCTGCCCAAGGGGTTGTCCCTTGTTTGTGATTTTTGCCTTAGTGAATCTCTGATCTCCCCACTGCCCTGCCCTGGCCATGCCATGGCTATAGGGGATTGGATAAAAGGCTCCTCCAAGTCAGCCAAGTGGACAGGTTGAGCAGCCGGAGGAGAGGGGGAGAGAGCCCACCAGAGCCTCAGGGGCCATCCCGCTGCATCCTAGGGACTGGAGCCCCCTACGGTTTTTATACAGAAGAGAAGCAGCCCAGTTTCCTACCCCGTGCCCTACCCAAAACAAACTAAAGGGAAAATGAGCCGGCATAGGGATGGCAGTGGGACCTCGATGCGGGTGGGTGGGCAGATGGGGGACCTCAGCAGGACCATGGGCTTCAACATGACACCTCCATGGTGTGGTTGACCTGACCCAGCCCCTCGCTGCTGTCTGAATGGGTGCAGGCCTGTGGGCGGCTGCCATCCACCGAGCTGGCACTGGTGAGGGACGCGGTACGAGAGCGGGCGAGACGCGTCATGCTGGCCGAGGGCACTGTGGACAGAGATGGGAACGGGTGTGAGTGAGGACCAGCAGACCAGGCTCAGCACCAGCAGGTGGCAGGAGGACACGCAAGCAAAGCGGCCAGCGAGAGCCTATCTTCCAGCAGCACAGAGAGGGCCGTCCCAGGCCAGGGCACAGATGCTGGCTCCACCAGGCCTGAGGCATGCAGGGCCAGTGACAGTTTGGCTGACCAGAGCTCTGGCCAGACTAGGGCAGGGGAGACTGTTTTCCAGCAGGCCACAGTGCCTGGCCTCCAGTAGCCCTCAGTCTGGAGCTCAGCCGTCCACCTGATGAGCTGAGAATGGGTGCTAACTCCCAGAGACCCCACAGCACTACTGCCTGGGGCAAGCTGGAAGCAAAACTGCTCCCAGATGCAGCCAACCTGGAGCCACCCAACAGGGCTGGCCCTCGGCATGGCGGGATGTACGTGGGAGTAGGAATCTTTTGGGCTTTTGAGTTGAGCGAGACACGAGAAGGCTCCAAACCACAGCGAGCCGCGGCTTCAGCGCTGAGCACAGGAAAGGGCTGGGGGAAGGCGGGATGGGTGGGTCCATGCATCAGGGGAGGGCCAGGGCTACCTGCTCCTCCACTCAGCCTTCGGTCCTTCAAGTACGCAACTGGGAGAAGACAGAGCCGGAGGGGGCAGGGACGGGGAGACACAGAACATGTTGAAGATGGCGGTGGGCCGCCACAGGGGCGTGATGATGGGCCAAGGACATGAGACAGAAGGACCCATATGGAGGGGGCTGGGGCAGGCTCAGGGGGCCTCAGGAGGCTCCCTGGGCCCGCCCACCTGCACAGTGGCTACAAGAACCACACCGGGGACCAAACTCTGTGCAGCCTGAGCCCACCCCACCATCCCCCATGCTGACCCCCTTTACCAGCCGAGGCTGTAGGCACTACCACGCTCCTGGGTGAAACCTCAGGCGTTCATCCCTAGTCCTGGCACATGCATGCACATTCACACACACCATCCTGCTGGGCCTCCCCCACGTAAACACAGGGTGCAGGAAGCCTGCGCAGCCCTCCCCCAGCACCTGTGCGTGGAGCTCACACACTCATCCTCCAAGTGAGGCACCCAGGGCCCAGCCTCACAGCCGGAGGTTTCTCCGCCGGCCTGGCTCCTCTCCACTGGCGTTGGCCCCTTTCTGCCCTGCTTCTCACAGACGGAGGGCCTGCACCCCTGGGTCCGTGTTATCACCTTGCCCCATGGGGAGATCCGGCCCCAAGGAGGAAGTTTGCAGGATGACAGAAACAAGCTTGCAGGGAGGAAGTCGGCTACCCAAAGAGCAGGTGTGAGGGGTACAGGAGATGATGTTCAAGGGGCTTGAGTGGCACACGCACATGTATGTGTGTATGCGTGTGTGCACACACGTCTGCACATACGTGTGGGTGTGCACACGTGCTGTGGGGCTCATGAGCCCAGCCTGCAGCCTCCTGGCCCCTGCACGAGGGCAGGTGCAAGGAGAGGAGAGACAGGAAACTGGCCTTGTTCAGGGACCGTTTCCTCAGCATCTCACTTTGCCACTCCCAGGCTAAGTCTGGTTGCCTTCAGCTCTCCTAACACCCAGTGGGACCCCTCTGCCCTTCCTGGGCCCCAGAGTCCAAGCCCACTGGACACTGTCTGCCTTCTCAGGTGCCTAGGCACGGCCATGCCCTGGGCTCAGCAGGGTATGTATGACTTGCCCTCAGACAGGCTCCCTTGGCACAGTCTCTGCCCCGCCCCCCAAAAGCCTGGCACTGCCATCCAAACACCGCTCCAAAGCCTCTCCTAGGGTATCATCTTAGGTACCCTGGCTGGGTTGGTCCAGCACCTGGGGCCCAGCTGACCCCCTTGTTCCTCCCACTCCACCTTGCCCACAGGCCTCTGACCTGCCCGGGTGGAAGTGTACTCACTGTAGCCCATGCCTTGAAGGAAGTATTTGAAGGCCTCCGTCAGCTTTCCGGGCTGTGGGACGGCAGGACAGGCACACTTTGATTGGCTGCCTGGGATTAGGTAAGGGGAGGAGCTTCCAAGACCCCCCAAATGACAGAGGCAGACAGCTTAGGGTCTCACCTGTGTGACCTGGGGAAGCCCTCCGGAATCTGCCATCTGTAAAGCCAAGAGCAGGGAGGGGTAGCTGAGCAGGGCCCCGCCCCACACTCCCCTGCCCCGGCCCTGGCTCCTCTTTCAGCCCAGGAGGATGGTCTCACCTTCAGGAAGGTGGTGGTGGTTGGGTCCAGCTTGGAGTTACATTCGACCTGGGGATGGGAGCTGGTTTGAGCAACAGTCCCACCCGTCCCCACCTTCAATGCCAAGGGCAGTTCTGGGCACAGAACGAGTGAGGGGAGCAGATGCATGGGTGCAGGTGCAGGGTAGCACCCAGGACATGGGTGAGGTGGCCCCTTGCCTGGGCTCTTTCTCCCAAGCCTACCCAAGTCATGGGGTTCAGTCAGCTGACAGACCCCACTCACAACTGCTAGGGGCATGGGGGGGGGTCAGTGGCAGGGCAGTACCCATGTGGCAGGGCAGGGTCACTGGCAGGATTGGTCTGGAAAAGTCCCAGGGCCTCAGGGGTCAGACAGTGCCCAAGGCCCTACTTGGCCCAGCCCTACACTGCTCTGCCCAACTCTCCTGGAAGATCTATGTGCTTCTTGGGCACCCCTGGGCCCCCAAGCTGCCAGACGGCTCTATGCCAATGAGGTACAAGAAGCTGCCCAGCAGACTGCCAGCTGCCAGGGTTCAGGAAGGAGGTATGCACGGGGGCCCCAAGGCAGGCAGTGGCCATGTGGTGAAGGACTTACTTAGTTCCTCAGCCAATGAAGTTTTAGAGAGAGAAGGGAGAGACCGGGGCCTAAGGAGGTAGAGGCCGAGTTGGGGGGTGGGAGAGCTGGAAGGAACAGTCACCTAGTGGCTCCCAGCTCCCTCCTGTGCCCAGGATGGAGGTGTGCCAGGTGGGGGTGCACAGTGTAACGGGGGCCTGCCTCCCACTCCAGCCCCCCAACCCTCCACTCACCACCCCATCCTCAGCGGGCGCATTGTCCCCGACCACCAGCATCACAGGGCAGCTGCAGACAGAGGGAGAGGGGCTGTCTGGCCTGGGCACGGGAGAGCTCAGGCAAGGGCAGGTCTGGGGGCCAGTGGGTATTTACCGCAGTGTCTTGGCATTGGGCACCGTCCCAGGCCGGTTAATGTCCAGGTCTCTGCGGCTGTGGGGTAGAGGTAAAGTGGGCACCTTGGGACTAGAAAAGGGGTCCCCAAGCCCAGTGCTGCCAAATGGGAAAGCAGGGTGCTACAAACCCACTTCAGTCCTTCCCAAGTCCCCAACTCACGCTGGGGGGGGGGGGTGTCTCTCACATTTCGCCCTCCACCAGCCCAACACCACTCCCTTGGCAGTGGGAGTGCCTGCTGCTGGCCTGTCTCCTGGCCATAAAGTCACAGGACCCAGGTTTCTCAGTTCTCTACTGCCCCAGAACCAGGCATGTAGCAGAAGGCAAGGTCACTCCCAAGAGCACAGCTGAACCCTGGGGGAGGACTCCTGCTCACCCACCAGATGCCCTGCAGGTGGGTTGCCTGCCCTGTCTCCTCCGTGGGCAGGGGCCCGGAGTGTCCTCCCCCGGCCAGCACCACCCCGCCCATACCTGTTGTACATGTTCCAGAAGAGCTGCAGGTTGGCCTGGTTCACAACGTTCCCGATCTGCTGGCGGTAGCTTTGCACCAGCTCTGTGCTGTTCACCAGCTCCTCCTGGGGCCAGCAGAGCAGGTGGGGGCGTGGAGGAAAGCAGACACACAGAGAGACACGGGCTTGAGGGGAGGCACCAGACGGGATGAGGTGGAGGGCGATGCCTGGGGAAGGGACTGGGAAAAGGACTCCCACCCCATCTGTTAGGTGCTGCAGCATCACAGATGACAACAGAGTGTGGAATGAGATGGGTCAGGCGTAGATGACCAGGTCAGAAGGGTGGGGTGGGAGCCCAGGCTGCCCAGAGGGTGGGCAGAACGCGGCCCTTTGGCGGCTGTCCAGGGCTCCGCCAGTTCCTGAGGGCCCCTGCTCCCACCTGTGCATGCTCCTGGGTCGGCTGAAGCCCCAGCCCCTCACCTGACTGAAGAGATGGGAGAGCACAGTGTCTGGTAAAGTGCTTGTCAGGCCAGAGAGCTGTGGGGGGTGAGGGGAGGAAGAAGCCGCTGTGACTGGGCGGGCACCCCCCCAGCCTGGTTACACCCCAACCTGTGCCCTGGGCGCACCCCACGTACCTTTGTGGCGGCCCAGTCAATCCAGCCTTTGCCATTGGGGTCGATGTTCACCAGCACCAGCCCCTCCACCAGGTCTGGGAAGATGAGCTACAGGAAACAGGGTTAAGCAGGGCCGGAAAGGGGTGGGCAATAACTGCATCTCCTATGGGTGCCAGCTTGTGTCCGGCTACTCCATTTTGGACCCAGCTCCTTGCTAAGGGTCTGGGGAAAGCAGAAGAAGATGGCCCAAGTCCCTGAGCCTCTGCTATCTATATGGGAGACAGGACGAACCAGTAAGTGCAAGATTTCTCTCTCTCTCTCTCCTTTCCTCCCTTCCTCTTTAAAGATAAAGCCTTAAAAAAAAAAATGTAGTCCTGATGATGTAAACTAAGTATGAAATTAACCTTCTCCACACCTGTTTCTTGTTGCCCATGGCAAAGCAAGCTTGTTGCCCCTCCAGGGCTTTGCCTAGCTTAGGGCACAGTGGCTGCACACACGGCCCTGCAACCACGTGTGTGTGGGAGGGGCCTGGGGCATTGGCTGGTCAGCAGTTCACATGCTTACGGGTTACCTGAGTTCTTGAGGGGCATCCCTCAGGCTGCCGCTAAATGAGGAAGACTCAGTTTGTTGCCCAAACAAAATCTGGCCATGGAGAATGGCTATCAAATTCCAGCTCAGTCTTGGGAGGAAATGTATGGGAAAAGGAACATCTTTTAACCCAATAAAAGCTCATTTCTTTGGAGGGGAAAATAAAGTGGGGTTTGCTAAGCGAAGAGGAAGCGGGGAGAGAAGGAGAAGACCCTGTGGCTAAGGGCTCTGGGCGCTGGTGGAACTTGGGACACTCACTGCAAACTTGGCCAGCACATAGGCTCCGGCTCCTACTCCGATACCAATCACGTACTTGAACCTGGTAGAGAACAGGATGATCACTCTAGGGCTGGGGGTGCTCCATTCACTGGACCTCAGCCCCCGGTGGAGTGGGGGTGTCCCTGCTGTGGTGGCAGCTGCGCAAGGCCAGGGCTGGGCAGGGACTCACCCGAAGTGCTGTACAACACTGGGCAGCATGGCTGCCAGCTGCTCCATGGATGGAAACTGGTACCTGTGGATGGAACAGGGGGTCCTGGCTCAGGCCCAGCCCGGAGCGTGGTGCTGGGGGACAGGGGCACGGGTGGACAAGGGCACCTACCCTTGAGGAAATTGCGACGCCCCCACCTGCTGCCCAGGGGCATCCACGTGGCACACCACGAAATGCTTGGTGATTTCCTGCATGTCCTCAAAGTTGAAGAAGGTGTTGAAGCAGAGCTTGTCTGCAAAGACACACCTCTCTCAGCTACTGCCTGGCTCAGGGAGGCACGGACGGGGGTGAGGGTTGTGGGCCAGCTGAGCCAGAGGTGATCAGCCTCGAAGTCCAAGGTGGGAAAATGGAGACCCAGGGTGCTAGAGCCGCAAAGCCTCATGTCACGGAACCTACGGGGTCCTGTGAGCAGGCAGGAAGGATGGGGGTGGGAGCTGTTGGGGAGATTCTGGGCCAGGGGCTGAGCTGTGCTTACGGTTGAGGCCTACATCATGGTAGGTGAGGATGGCCGGGCGGTTCCCCTTGGGAGAGCCCCGGATCACCACGTGCAGGAGGCCGTAAGGCGTCTCGATGTCATGTTCCTGCAGGGCAGAGACGTGCTGTCTGCAGACAGGACAGACCAGGCAGGGCGTTCCTGTCCCAGGGCTGTCCACACAGGCACGGGACAAGCAGGTCCGCCTGTGCAGGACAGTCTTGTCCCCTTGGCAGGCCAGCAGCAAGTCCAGCTGCCACAATCGGAGACCAGCCTCGGTGCCCAGCCCAAGCTCTTGCTTCTGCCCTGTTGTGACCCAAGCCTCCCCACTGCTAACCCTGATGCCTTCTGCCCGCTACAGGTGCTCCATGTCTTTGGGGTGCAGCTCAGCATCGCAGCCCCTCCTGGAGGACCCGACTCTGGCCCTGGGACCCTGCAACTGACTCGGCACAGGGCCAGGGACTCAGGGAACTGAAGTGCTGGTGCTCACAGAGGGGCCCTGCCAGGGGGCATAGGTAAGCTGGACACCATATCCTGGAGAAGTGCCCTGCTGGCCAGCCCCCTGTAAGCGGGTCCCTGTTGGGTACATAACCAGGAAGCACCAGCAGCATCTGCAGCTGAACACCACTTGTTCTGAAAATAAGAACACAGACATGTCCAGGGAACCGGGTCCCCAGGGGAAAGGGGCCACTGGCGTGCAGGAGGCAGCTTCCTGGGGGTCCATCTGCTCTCCTGGGTGAGTAGCAAGATGAGAGCTGCCCCCCTGCTACAGGGTGTTTCATTCCCGTGGCCTTGTAGCTGAGCCCAGGCCCACTGCAGCCCCCTCCAGCCCAGCCCACCGAATCCAGCAAGGCTTCCTGCTCACTGACATGTATAGGTCAGATGCCATGGGTACATGTCAAGCCCCTAGTCATAGAAGAGGGTTCTGGGCCTCCTCAGAAGGGGGGTATTGACCTGCTCAAGGTCAAACCCAGAGGGGCAGGGGGGTGACCCAGGGCCAGGACCTCATGCTGGTGGTGGCTGCTGTGTTCTCGGATAAGGGAGATCTGCTAGGCATGCAGTTCCACCATAGCTGCCTGTCTCAGCCTCGCCCCCCCCCACACACACATCAGTCTCCTCCCCTCTCGTGCAGCTCAGGAGGGCAGGGCTGGGGGAGGGAGGGGCTCAGGCTGCAGAAGAGCCGCAGTGCGCTGCCTGTCCGCTGTTGCATGCTTGCTTGTGCTCCCAGCAGGGTCAGCGCTCGCCCTGGGAGGTCAGTGTCAGGGCCCTGAGCAGTGGTCTTCCATACCCAGACCTCTACACCTGCAGGTGTAAGGGCAGCTGCCAGCCACAGCTGCTGAGAATTGAGGTCATCCCTGCCCTGGCAGGGCCAACTCCTCCCATCACGCAGTGGATGTGATCAGCTCCCTTGGACAGGAAGGGGTGGGTCTGAGCTGGCCATCCGGCACTGCTCAAGTTGCGTGGTACAGGCGGTCCATGACCTTGACCGTCTCCTCCTACCAGCCACTTCCTGCACATCCTTCCCTCCTGGCAGAACTCAGACCCAGTGTGGAGGGGTGGAAGGCCAGTGTCCCCTGCCCAGGGATGCTGTACCAGGGGTGGGAGGGCAGGGGATGATCCAAGGGCTGCAGCCCCTAGGGAAGTGTTCTCCCATTGGCTCTTGGTGACATCAGAGCCTGCTCCCCCTCCCGCAAGGTGGGTAGCAGAGGGAGTCACTGCAGCTACAAGGGAGGGGGCCCTGTTCTTCTTTGCCTGTGACCTTGATGGCTGTGTGGCCTGTGGCAGCCCAGCTTTGTGCACTCATTGCAGTGGCAGTGGTGCGAGACTTTCACCCATATCAATAATTCTGGAGACAGGGTCTGCATGGGCAGGTGGGTGCTAATGTCACCCTGTTTCATAGGGGGAGGGCAGGCGTGCAGGGGCAGGGCGAGGGCTGGTCCTCCTTGAAGAAGAACAGTGGAGGGCCCTGGCACCTGCTGCCCCTTGGGACAAGAGGCGGCAGCCACGATGGGTGGAGAGGATGCAGGGCTCCACCACTGTCTTCCCCTCCTACCAAATCCGGCACAGCCACCTCTCCTCCTCTCACCCTCCGTCCCTCCTCCTTAGGCCCTCTGCCTGGGGAGGCAGGAACACAGAGGACGAGTCACTTGTCCTTGCAGAGCAACCCATGCAGACAGGACGCAGACCCTGGACCCGTGTTGGCCAGGAACACAACCCCTCTGCCCCCAGGTCTACCACCCAGCACTGAGGCACAAAGAAGACAGCAGGCACACACGATGAGTACAACCACACACTGACACACAGGTCCCTGCCAGCAGTGAGGTGGGCCAGCCAGACAAGTCCCTGCCCTTGGTTTCCAGGACTTCTCCCCTCCCCCGCCTCCCGACTGCCTTGCCATACTGAGCAGTCACCCCCAGCCTCCCTCCTGTGGAGATTGGAGCCCTCAGGCCTTGCCTCGGTGGCTGCTGTCCACCCTCCCAGGTGAGGCGACTGATGGCTGAACTGTCATTAGAGGAGGCCAGCCAAAGGAGTGCCGTGGCCTGGACGCCCAGCCCGTTGCCCCCAGGGGCCCCTCACTCACCCCATCCCAGCACTCCGGCATCGTGCCGAGGGAGGGAGATGCCTAGATCAGGGAGGGCACCCAAAGGCCTGAGTCACTCGGGTCCAGCAGAAGGGAGCAGGTCCAGAGGCAAATCGGGTGCCTGCCTTGCCCGTCTCACACTAGGATGGGGCGCCCTCCCAGGCCATTTATACGCTCAAGCTGCCTGGCCTCGGCCGGCTCCTCCTCTCTGCAGGGATGCTGAGCAGCCACTTGCTCACTCGGAGCCCCCGTGCACGGATTGGCTGCTGGGGGACCAGGCTGGCTCCCATTGGCTTCCCTAGACCTCGCTCATACCAGCTTCGCTCTGGCTCCTCCTGCCCCTAGCGACAGCAGCACATCAGACAGAATGGTCCCCAGCCCTGCAGCTCTGCCAGCCCAAACAGCAGACACACTCCAGCCTGGAGCACGGGAATACCAGCATCCGCGGTGGGTAGGGCACAGCCCCTGGCCCACGCCCTGGGAACCAGGCTCCCACCCCCAGCCTCTGAGAAGGCCCTGAAGCTTGATGAGACCAGGGAATCTACACTGCTCTAGGGCATGGTGAGACACACCGCAGCTCTTCTCCCCACATGCAGTGTGCTAAAAGAGGCTAGAGGTCATCAGGACTGGAGGAAGAGAGGGGACAGCCTGGCCAGGCTCACAAGCCCCCTCAGCAGATCCTTTCCAGAACCCACCGGTCTCAGGGCAGCAGGACACACAAGCCACCCTAAGGCTCCGGGCCATCCTCCTGGGTGGTGGCCAGTTCTAGGCGTGTGGCTAGGGCAAACTGAGGCGAAGGGTGGGGGGCTGGGAGAAAACAGGTCAGAAAGGGGAGCAGAGGGGAGAGCCCCAGGACACAGTACAGGTGCAGGGCAGGGGGAGGGTGCTGTTGTCTGTGCCCCTGATCCGTCTTCTTGGTGAACAAAGATACGGCCAGCCTTGGCCTGTGTCGATGGCCCTGCATGGCAGCCTGTGGGCAAAGCTTAGATACCAGATGACCTTCTCCACGCCTGCCATGTCCTCTTTTCCAGGCCATGGCCTCTGCCTAGGGCCACCACCCGCCTTCCCTACTCCCTCTCTGGCCTCCAGCTCCGGGGGCCCACAGCACAGGGCAGCTTGGCATTGTGGGGCGTCTCCTGTCCCTGCAGTTGCTATGGAACACAAAGGGGCTCAAGCGATGGAGACAGCCTGCAGAGACGCAGCATTGGCCTCCATGGGGCCCACACAAGTTCTCCCGGGTGCTTCTGAGATGAAGTCGGAGGAGGCAGTCCTTCCAACCACCCTGGGTGCCCCCATGAATCTCTGGCCTCTCCCCGACTCTGTGCCCAGGGGAGGTGCTGGCCTGGCCCTGCCTGATGCAAGCCACAGCCTGCTCCATCTCTGCTTTCCTCATGCTGCCTGCAAATCCACAAGCCTGGGTGTAGATCTCATTCTGCTTCCCACCAGCTTCCACCACTGAGCCAAAGCAAGCATGCTGTTTTCACCGAGCTACAGCGCGAATGGAGGATGAAGTGCATAGATTGTCATGGACCTGACCTCACAGCCATGCAGCCGAGCAGGCAAACGCAAGGCCAGCCTGGGTGCCTCTGCAGCCCGCTGGCCCCTCCCTTGGGTCTCCCACAGTTGTTTGCAGTTAGACAAGGTAGGTTCAGGTTTTGTTAACCAAACCCTGCAGCTGGCGTTGCCCCACTGCTTCTGTGCTGGGTGACCCTGGGTAACTCAGCTGCCCTCTTGGAACCTCCAGAGGTGGAATTGTGAACGGTGGTGGCATTCTCTTGCAGGGACGAGTGCAAGCTTCAGGAGAACAGGTGGGGGAAACAGGTCCAGAGAGTTCTGGGAATTTCCCCCACTGTGCTGGTGAGCAGCCAAGGTTACTGGTTCTTGGGGGAGGGAAAGCCCAAGGTCACATTCTTAGCAGACACAATGGAACATCTCCAATGTGCCAGGCTCAAGGAGTGGGCACTCGTTTCCTCATTTTATTCCCTTAACACCCTCGGAGAAGGAGACTAACATGCTGAGCATCACACAGCAGTGACCAGAGAGCAGGGAGCACCCACCCTGCCTGGCTGGCTCTGGCTCCAGGATTTTGTGGCCACTTGCCATGTCAGCTGGGTGCCCCAACCTTGGGCCTGTGGGAGGCCTCATCCACACTCGGGGATGGCAGGGCTGCTGGCAGAGCCGTTTGCGTTGGAGACAGGGACACAACCCGATCAGGATCTCTGGCTCACACAGGTCCCGCTGCCCTGCTGTCTCGCCCAGCAACGCTGCCTGGCACCACACATCCGACGACAAGAATCCCTGCCTTGGCCCAGATAACCACCACGCTCCTGGCTGCCTTTCTAAAAAAGAATCTAAAAGCCCTGTCCGCGAGTGTCTAGCTGGGATGGACAGGAAGACATGTTTTACCATGTGCTGCCCTTGGTCACATGCAACAGCTTGGGAGCTGGGGCCCAGTGGGAGGCCTTGCAAAAGCAGCTGGGCACCTGGAGGGGCAGCGGGGCCTCGGCCTCCCACGTTGTGGGAACAGAAGATCTGGGCAGGGGCTTCCTGCTACCCCACCTTCATCTGGAGCAAAAAGAACCAAGAGAACTCCATGCTGCACCTGCTCTGACCTCTGACTGTTCCCTCTCATGTACCTACGTCATCTCTGGCCACCTGTCTCCCATCCTCCTCCTGGCACCTATTCACTGCCACAGCCTTCCCTGCCCTACTCCAGAGCCCTTTGGGTTCAGAGATTGCCTTCCCCAGGGAGCTGGGCATGGCACACTGCTGCCCAGAACCGGCCCAGGGCGTCCTTGAGGCTGCATGTGACCAAGGGACCAGCACACAGGCCCCAGGTCTTCACTGCAGAGCTGTGGACCTTGGGGGGAGGAGCCACCTCACCCCCTTGTCCAGACTTCCTGGTCGTGCTGTGGTGGGATTTGGGACTAGCCTGGCTGGAGGGCAGAGAGACCAGGGCAGGGGCCAGATCTGCAGATCCAATGGGGCTCACCCTGGGCCTGCTCTTAGCCATTTGCTGAGACTGGGGAGTGGATGGTCGCTAAGCGAATCCAGGGGAGATGCGTCCAACCAAGCAATCAGGACCTTCAAGTGCTCAGGGCTAAACACCAGAAGCAAGTTCAGTTTGCACAGAGAAAATGTGGCCTCACGCTAAAGAGGCCATGGTTGTCCAGGCAACTGCTGCCATGGAAACGAGCTATTTTGGGGCAGCGACTTGGCTTTCATTGGAGAAAAACCTGATTCAGATGACAACATCCCTCACTCCAGCTCCGTTCTCACTCCCCCAGGCCTCCCCATCCCCTCCCCACATTCTGTCCTGGAGGTCGGACCCCTCACTTCCTTTCCGTTGGGCCAGTGGCAGGCATACCCACAGTGAGCTGCAGGGGGCAGTCCTGGTGGGTGGGCGCTACCAGCCCTGGGCACACTGAGGGCTGTGGCCCACTCTGGGACATGGCCAGGCAGGGAAAGGACATTGTCAGCTCACATCTCAAAAGGCCTGGCCTTGACCTACCTTCCAGTCTGTGTCCACCGCCAGGAGGAAGCTGTCGGAGTTCTCCTACAAGGAGGCAAACGGGGTGAAGGTTAGGCCCTGGCTGGCCTGAGGGACTGCAGGGTCTCCACCTCATGCTCTGCTTCCGACTGTCTAGATGCTAACCAAAGTAGCCGAGAGAAAGCAGACAGGCCTGGGGTTTAGACGCCTGCCTTCCTCTCTGGCTCAGTTCCTACCTCCAGCCCAACTCCAGCTTCCTGCCACTGCAGACCCTGCGAGGCAGTGCGCATGGGGATCCTATGCCCAAGCAGGAGCCCTGAATTACACCTCTGGCTCTCAGCTTTAGTCCAGCACAGTCCCAGCTGCTGCAGGTGCTGGAGTGGACCGTGGAAATCCTCTGGCAACAAGGTTCCCTAAGGAAGCCTCAGATCTGTTCATCCCGGGGTTCAGCATCTCTTCCTTTGTCTCCCTCCCTACCCCAGTTGCACCCCCGCTCTGTGGACACCAAAGCATGGAGATGGGCAGTCCAGAGAGGCTGGGGCTAGCATGAATATCAGGCCCATTTCAGGAATGGGGAAGCAGAGGCCTCTTCAGTAAGGAGTCACAGGGGGGCCCTTCTTACCTGCATGGGTCTCTCCCTCCCCAGGCCCATGGCACCTGCCATTGCCCCACACCTGCCTGTTCTGTGCTCTCACCTCCTGTCTTACGGCAATTGATGCAGCCATGATGGGGGCCTGGTCTGCCTGCTGGACTCCAGGTACTGTGAGGGTGCGCATGCCTGGCTGGGCAGCCAAGCACTTTTCCTGGTGTCCAATCCAGACTGGACCCTCTGACTTCAAAGAGGGGAAGGCAGCTGGAAAGGCACCCCTGGTGTGTGAGAGGCACCCCACCTGGCTGACTTGCCAGCAGTGCTGGCACAGGCTCAGGCCACGGGGAGAGACCCCTGTCAGGCGACCAGACCACACACAGTTCCTGGGAGGGCAGGGAGCCTCCTGGGATTAAGCGAGAAGCCCAGTGTTAGCCACCATTTGTCCCTGTCCCCTGTCCTGGGCTGTGCAGGCTACAGTCTCCTACTGAACACACCATGGATTAAACAGTGTGGTTAGGAAGAGGGAGTGGCTGAGGAGCATGCAGTGAGGAGAAACTTTTGTACCTAGGAGTCGGCAGAGAGGACCCAGCCAGAGACACCCCTGTGTTTCCCCAAAACAAGGGCGGATGGGGAGCTCAGCTATACACGCTCTGGCTTGGAGGCCCCAGGGGGCTGTCCCATTCCCAGAAGGCGGCCCCTGCCACCTCTCTCCCAGGACTCCCCTGCTGGGACATCCTGCAGTCACTCATCAACAGAGGGGACAAGGGCTCGAGGGAAGCAGTAGGTCCAGGCTTCCAGAATGCCCTGGCCCATGAGCTGCAGCAACAGGGGCTGTAGAAACACACTGGGGCAGTTCGTTCTTTCCTCCCTCCTTTTTTTTTTTCCTTACGGATTTATTTTTATCTGAAAAGCAGATTTGTAAAGAGAGAGGGAAGGACTTTCATCTACTGGTTCACTCCCCAAGTGGCCACAATGATCGGAGCTAAGCCAATCCAAAGCCAGGAGCCAGAAGCTTCTTCTACCAGACTCCTATACAGGTGCAGGGTCCCAAGCCTTTAGGCCATCCTCGACTGCTTTCCCAGGCCACAGGCAGCGAGCTGGATGGAAAGTGAAGCAGTTGCGACTAGAGTGGTACCAAGAGATGCTGGGACTACAGGGACCACAGTAGCATCAGCCCTGTGCGGACAGTTTTCAGCTTAGAGGGCAACTGTCTAGAGGAGGGAAGGGGGAGTTTTGTTCAAACAGACCTGACAGAGACACTGAGGCAGATCAATGTGTATGTGTGTGTGTGTGTACACACACAAATGATCTCAGGGAAATGGCAGCAGGGAAGGGCATGGTCACTCAGTTCAGAAGCTACAGGCATAGCTGAGGCCAATTCAGAAGTCTGGGTCACAGGCAGGGAGTGACACTTGGAGGACAAGGTGGGTGGGGGGAGCGAGGGCTCAGCTGTAGGATGGAAAGCTCAGCTGCAGAGTGGCGAGGCTATGTTGGGGGTATGGCATGGGCTAGAGGAGTGGCAACATCCCCGCCAGGGGTTCAGCTTATGGGGGTGGAGGGGCAGGCGGCTGGCCAGAAGCACAGTTGGCCCTCAGTGTCCCCAGGACTAGTGCCAGGCTGCCCACAGGTGCTCCAGTGCCGGGTGGGGCTGGCACTGTTGTGTAGCAGGTAGTCACTGCCGGTGATGCCTGCTTCCTATGTGAGTGCGATGCCCTGGCTGATCCACCTCTGATCCGGCTGCCTGCTTACAGCCTGGGAAAGTAGCAAAGGATGGCCCAAGTGCTTGGGCCCCTGCCGCCCACGTGGGAAACCTGGAAGAAGCTTCTGGCTCCTGGCTTTCACCTAGCTCAGCCCTGGCCATTGTGACTATCTGGGGCAGTAGACCAGCAGGTGGAAGACCTCTCTCTCTCTCTCTTTGAAACTCATTCAAATAAATAAATAAATCTTTCTGGAAAATGGTGTGGTGTTCAGTCACTTGGGCAAGTCCACTGTGCACTTCGCAGCATCTCCTCACTGCTCCTAATGCCGCATAAATGCTGCACACACAGCTGTCATCTCACAGCACGTGGGGAATAACGACCACCCCACCTCTGCCCCCAGGCTGCAGAGCCTCAGCCTGTAGCTGCTGCACCCCCAGACGCAGAACCCATGGAGAAACAGCCTGTAGAAGCTCCCTGGACAGGAGGGGGCAGGTAGAGGGCAGCAGGAGAGCAGAGGACTGACACCATGAAGCACACACTTGGAGCCCCGTATGAGGTGTGACGCTCCCAGCTCCCGCACGGGAACCGGGCTCTGACTGCACCTTCACTGGAAACACATGAGACCAGAGCCCAGCAGTAATGTGGGGAGGAGGGGAGACCAGCCACCCTGAGAGGGCAGGCATTGTCACTGAGCTTCCCCAAGGAATGACCTGACAGGGCAAGGGGTAAGGGACAGTGGGATACAGGAGGGGTCAGGTCAAGAAGTTATACCTGGGGGACTCCTCCGGGCTGACCATCCTGGCACTTGAGACAGGACACGGGGTGCCCGGGGGCCACCATCTGCCTCCCCAGAGCTCAACAGAGGCTCTGTGTGGATGCCATGACTGACAACAGGCTGGTGGGGTCAAAGACCCAGGGTTCTGCTCCCAGAGCCTGCAGGGCAGGGGCCCACTTCAGTAGGGGCAAAGACAGAGTACAGTGGGGGATCAAGTGCAGCCCCAGAGGTCAGAGAAGGTTTTCAGGGGAGGGAACCAGACCCAGCATTTCTGGGAGCAAATCCCAGGCAGAGGGAATTGCTGGAGGGGAGGGAGACAGGCAGGAGTATGGGAGACGGGCTCAGGTCTGGGTGCAGGTCACATGCTCTGCCCACAAAGGTCCCAAGTGTTCATGGAGTGACCACAGCCACTACCAGCCGTCAGCAGACAGGAGACTGAGGTGTGTCAAGAGTTAAAAAGAGGGTCTGGCACATTGGCTCAACTGGCTAATCCTCCACTTCCAAGTGCCAGCATCCCAAACGGGCACTAGTTCATGTCCCAGCTGCCCCACTTCCCATTCAGCCCTCTGCTTGTGGCCTGGGGAAACAGTGGAGGATAGCCCAAAGCCTTGGGACCTCTTCATACGCACGGAAGACCCAAAAGAAATTCCTGGCTCCTGGCTTCGGGTCAGCTCAGTGAATGGAAGATCTTTCTCTCTGCCTCTCCTTCTCTCTGTACATCTGCCTTAATAATAATAGTAGTAGCAATAAAGCAAGAAATGACAGGGCTTGGAGGTATCTTTAGGGCCCATGAGGCGTGGGGTTCCCCAGCTGGTCCTGATAGCTCAGGTCTGACTCTTGGCGCTCTGTGGCTTTTGGAGAACCTCCCTGTGGGGGGATTCTGGGGGATACAGACCAAATAGAGGGCAGCCTACCGAAGACCTGAGGGTCTTGGGCCGGGGCTAGGGGACCCAGACCTTGGGGAGCAAGGAACCCATGACATTTTTAGGCAGGGTAGCTTGTGTCACAGTCCCTGTGTAGTGCAGGGCAGGTGGGCAACGAGAAGTACACCAGCGTCGGTAGAATGAAGCAGGCAGTAGGGGTCCCTGGGGGTCAGCAGCCTCCTGGGTTCTGCTGCTCCCTGGTGACACAGCTGGTGAGGCTGCCCTGGGCACTCAGAGAGAAGGCTCTGCAGACACAAGCACCTTGTGGGCCTCCCAGAATCAAGGCTCCACTACAGCCTCCTTTCCCTTCCCGGCCGTGGGACACTGGCCAGGTGACTTCATTTTTCCATGCCTCAGTTTGATCATCATTGAAGTGGGCTAACTTTCCTGAGAGTCTCCAATCTCAATAGACAGCCACTGTGGAGCATGCTGGTCCTAATTCGGGGAAGCTGGGGTAACGGGAGCATTTAGGCCGGCCCCGGGGGAACCTCCCCAAAAGGTTGGACCCAGATGGAGGCTCCGCGTACAGGCGCTACTCTCCCCTGTTGCAGGTAGGTGCGGCTTTCCGCTTTGCCACCAGGTGGCGCGAGCACCGCCAGACACGCGACAGGGCGACTCACCAGCTCAGCGGCGTCCTGGCTCCGCAGCAGCGGCTTCTCCTCCGGGAAGCGCAGCTCCTGCAGCCCGGCCATGGTCACGTCGTGCAGCAGGAGCCCTGGGTGTGAGGGGCGGGGGAGAGCGAGTTCGTGGCTTGCTGTGCATCTGCTGGGTGGATGCCTGAGGCAGGGGGCACACGGAGCCAGTCATCTGCACGGCCCCATGCTCAGGCCCATACTGTAACCCCTGCTAACAGTTACAGGCTACATTCTGTCCCTCCTGTGGACAGCAGGGCCTAGTGTGGGAAGGAAAGGCTGCAGGCCTTGGTGGGGTCCCCCGGGGCTGGGAAGGGGGACAAAAAAGGTAGGCTGGGGGCCTCAGACGCAGGGGACAGGCCAGGGGTGGGAGGGCACTACACGATGTGCACACACCTGATGCGCAGTCCAGTTCCTGGATGGTGATGGTCTCTGCCTTTACTACTGGGTGTTCTGGAGAGGCCTCTGGTGTGTGTGTGTGTGTGTGTGTGTTGGGGGGCCCAGCCGTGAGAGTGGGCGGGCAGGCAGGCAGAGGCCCAGGGCACAGCTACCATCTCTTGGTATTATTTCTGAACTACACAGATCTGAGAGCGGTGACAGAAAAGACCAGCCAAGGACGGGATCTGGACCCTCACAGAATCCCCACTGGCCAGTAAGCACCTGGACAGACAAGTCCAGGAAGTTCACGTGAAAACAAGATGCTCTTTTATTTTTTGCCACCAGAACAGAGTTTGCCGCACACGCAAAGCTGCACAGGCGCTTTCATCTACCACAGGAGGGCGGTGGGTCACCTGAGAGCTCTTCCTGAAATGCAGTTTTGCACAACGAGTTACAATTATTTAAATTTGCTCAGATTCAGCAATCCCTCCCCGGAAGACAAAGCAGCGATTCATGTTTAAGAAAATTCACCGTGACTTCTTGGACTTTTGGTCTAGATCAAGGAAATCATGCTTCCCATGATCATAAACTCACCACAGGGAAAAATGAGAAGGTGGTAAATGCTGATCCACAGGGCAAGAGATGCCTAAGGGGTCAAGAACTTGTGAGAAATGGCCTAAGGACGCAGGAAAATGCTTGTGTTACAATCAGTAGGAAAAGCGGCAGATGGATCGTTAGCACTCTGCAGTTGGAGACACCAACAAGCCCACCCCAGCCGAGGCCACGGGCCGCACCCTCCTCAGCACCTAGCCCCTCTGCTGCCTCCCTCTCCCCTGCCTGCACCCCCTTCCCATAAGCAGGAAACCTCACTCCTCCAGGTGGCTGCTAAGGACAGAGCAGAAGTGCCTGGGGGGGTCCCTGCTAGAGTCCAGTTGGAGGCTCTGAGATGCTGGGGCAAGGCTGTGCACAGGCGGCTGGCCACGCCCCCATCCTCCAGCCCACCCCCAGGCCTGGCCCCTGCATGGGCACCCCCACCACCGCCACCTGGCATGGGCGCCCCCGGTGGAGCTCCCTGTTCCCAGCGGTTTCCGGGGAAACCAGCTACCACCAGCAGATGGGCTATATTTTTAGAAAGGCGTTCCCTCCCCTCCCCCTTCCTCTCCCAGCCTTCCTGCTGTGTGCACACATCCCTGTGTGCTTCATCTGGGAGTGGCAGGTGGGGGCTAGGAGAGCGGTCCCCTTAGAAAGCTCTAGCTACTGGCCTCCCTGGATGCCCTACTCAACCAAACACGAAACACACAGCAGCTCAGGAGTCCCTGCCCTCCTCCCCTGTCTGTTACCAAACCACCCTGGAGACCATCTCCCCAAGGAGTGTGCTATTAACAGGGCTGTGAGTGGGCAGAGCGGGGACAGATGGCCTGTGATAGAGGGGGTGGCAAGACACCTAATCCACAAAACTGGGGATGCCTCAGCCCATAGGAGATGGGGACACGACCACAGCCTGGGCCTGGCAAGGTGGCACATGGCTCCAAGACACAGGTCAGGGTGGACGTCCCCCAGGAGAGCTACGGCAAAGTTCACGTCCAACACTAAGGTGAAAAAAACCAAAATGCTGGGGTAGGCTGATGTTGGATGCAGGTCAATAGCATTCCATATGAACACTGGTTTGAGCCCCAACCGTTCTGCCTCTGATCCAGCTCCCTGCTAAGGCACATGGAAGGTCACAGAAGATGACCCCCATCCTTGGGTCCGTCTCACCCTTGGGGAAGACTTGCAAGGAGCTCGGGGCTTCAGCCTGGCCCAGCCCTGGCTGTTGCAGCCATTGGGGGAGAGAACGAGGGGCTAGATCTGTCTCTCCCTCTCCTGCTCTGAACAGGAAAAGCCAAGGCTTGGCTCACTGTGGACCCCTTCTTCCCTACACAGAACAGAGGGCCTAGCACCCCAGGGGTCGGGAAGGGCCCAGCACCCCAGGGGTTGGGAAGGGTCCAGCCCTTTCTGGCCACAAGGCCTACAGTCCAATGGCTAATGCTTCTATCTCACTCACTCACCTGCTGCTCCACTGCATGCCGGGTGAAGCACTCCGTGAGGATCAGCTGAGGGCACAGGGGCAGCGCCAGCCTACACCCCTAACCCCATGCCCACCTCAGCACAGCAGGGGCAGAGCCCGGCAAACGCCTACATCATGGGAGATTCCTGGGGCATCTGAGGGGAACAAAGTGGGCTTAGCGTGGGGGTTCAGGGACTGCCTCCCCTCCTTCATCTACACAAGGCCTCGCCAGAGGAAAAGGCCCTCCTGGGTGTTTAGCCAGGCTAGTGGAACTGCCCTGCCACCGCACCCCCTGCTCAATTCCACATCACACAACACCTGTGTCAGATGCCTGGCCCCACCTCCTGGCTCAGTTTGCGGCCATCATGCAAAGGCAGTGATGAAAGCTCAAGGGCTCAGGTCTCTGCCAGCCATGTAGGAAACCTGGATTGGGTCCACATAAGCTCCCTGTTTGGCCCCAGTCACTGCAACTGTGTGAGGAGTACACAAGCAAATGGAAGCTTGGTCTCAAATCTTTCTTGGCCTCTGAAATACATAATTAAGAAAATGTTTAAAATATATTTTTAAAAAGAGATCAGGGTGAGTATGCAGTACAGTGGGCTAAGCTGCTGCCTGGGGTGCCGGTATCCCTTGTCTGAGCTCAGTTTGCAGCTCTTGCTGCACCATGGCCCTGCCGGCTGCCTCCTGATGTCTCCCGGGAGGCAGTGGATGGTATCAGGCACATGGGCTCCTGCTACCTACACCAGGTGGATGCGACCTGGGCTCCTGGCCTGTCTGAGAGTGAATCAACTGATGAGAATGCTGGCCCGCTCTCCATCTGCCTTTCATGTAGATGAAAACAAAGATTTTTGTTTCAGAGGGTCCGTCCTAGAAGTGCTCCCCTTTCTGTGTCCATGAGAGGGAGGGCTCACCTGCTGGTGGATGTACGGGGAGCTGATGGGCCATGCAAAGCTACAAGAGAAGCCCGCCGCCCCCGGAAGGCTGACAGCCACGTGGGCACTGGCAAGGGCTTGGCATGGTGGTGATGCTCATGGTTCTGTCTGGGGAACCACACCCAGTCTAGTTGCTGAGTCCCGGCTGGGCGGCTGAGCCCTGAGTGCAGGGCCAGATAAATCAGTGATTCTTACTATGGTCATCCCTGACAGCCCATGCTCAATGCTGAAATGAATCACAGCAGAGAGCAACAAGCCGTCAACAGAGCAGTGGCATGGCAGCAGGGATGATGGGTGACAGCCCGGAGGCGAGAAGAGGGGTACACTGCAGGTGCTGCCTGAGGAAAATCACCCCTCACCTAGAATGCCCCTCTGGCTGTCCCACGGAAAGCAAAGGCATGGAAGACAAGATAGAGGCTGAAGCTGTTGCACGTAGGACAAGACGCAGGGGAGGCTGGGGGAAGTGAGGGGAGGCCAGCGCTTGCAGGGCGGCTGCCAGGGACACTCCTTGCCTTGTCCAGCCAGCCCCCATGTCCCCTATTTACAGCTCCTTGGCTTCTCCCCACATATCACCACTCTATACAAGTGAGAGTGCACACACGCACAGTGCACACTTGCAAGGCACACATGCAAATCTATCCACTGGTGTATTTATGACAAACCTAGAATTTATACCTCAATCTCAAATCAATCACACAGAAATTTCTCTAGCTTCCCTCTTGTCTTCATAGCATTTCCCTCCCGATGGTAAGAACCTGACTCTCACTGTGCAGCCTACCGCTCCTGGGATACACGTAAAGGAGTTTCAGAATCGCCACTCGTGTGATGCGTTCTGATCACTCAGGACTTCCTGTCCTCAGGAAGCCTTCTTGGAGAGGTCCACCCGGACTGTGAGAGCACCCACCAACTCTGCAAGTCCTTTTTTTTTTAAAAAAGATTTATTTTTATTATTTTTTATTGGAAAGGCGGATATACAGAGAAGAGAGACAGAGAGGAAGGTCTTCCGTCCGATGATTCACTCCCCAAGTGAGCGCAACGGCCGATACTATGCCGATCCGAAGCCAGGAGCCTCTTCCAGGTCTCCCACGCGGGTGCAGGGTCCCAAAGCTTTGGGCCGTCCTCGACTGCTTTCCCGGGCCACAGGCAGGGAGCTGGAAGGGAAGCTGGGCTGCCGGGATAGAACCAGCGCCCATGTGGGATCCCGGGCATGCAAGGCGAGGACCTTAACCACTGCGCCACCGCGCTGGGCCCTGCAAGTCCTTTTTGTTGTGCTATTTTTATTTCATCAACACAGATGTGACCTGGCCAGCCAGCCAGCCAGCCAGCCCAGGAGGAGAACGAAGGAGACAGAGTCCAGAGAACTTGTGGTGAGAGCTCAGGGGGATGGGATCATGCAAGCTGACTGGGTGGCAGGGAGCCGCTGCCGCTGCTCAGGCAGGCATGAACGGACAGATCTGCCGGTTAAGGTGACACGTGAGTCCGTGTGCTGACAGGACTCCTCTTGCTGCTGGTGACCCTCCTAGGCCCCAACACTCCGTGGCTTCACCACGTCCTCTCTCACTCTGCAATGACCACCTGCGTGGAAGCCAGCCATTTAGTCCTGGCGGTGCATGTGTACAGCTGGGAGCTGTGACTCCATAAATATGAACAGGTAAAAAAAAAATTAAAAACCATTTTTGATCATGTTGCCCTGCCAGAGAAACAGATGGAAGCGCATGGCATTAGG